CAGCCTTAAGTTAATAGAAAGTTTCTTCTTAAGGGGCTTGTGTGTCCCTTCCTCAGAATACTCCTGTGTGATGCGCAGAAACCCACCCTATGTTGGCTAGGGACCCTGGTATCTTTCAGACGCAATTCTTAATGAGGTTGTACTTTCTGGTGACCCAAACAGATGGATGCGATGTGGCCTTGCCTGCCACACGCTCTGCAAATGGCAGAGAGGAACCTGCAGTCAGCTTGCTTGCAGTCCTCCACACCCGAAGCATTGAAGAGATGCTGAGGCCTTGTCCGGACATTCCTTCTGCCTCCTTTCAGCTGGCTGGTGAAGTCTATCCACCTCTTCTTCAGGATCCACTTCCGAGCCTTCTTGAGCGTCCTCTTGATGGATGGTAGCTGTATCTGGAGGGTTCCTGGTGGGCCGTAGGGTCTTCACAGCCCCGTCTGCTCTTCCTCAGCTGTCACCTCTCGTAGCGCATCTTGGAAAGAGATAGCTTCTTTAGCAAAAATCTTCTGCTGTAAGTCTCTATTCCTTAAACCGCATACGAAGCAATCTTGCAGCCTCTCTTCCAGATCTTCCAGAGCCTCTCACAAGTCTGGCTGCTCGCCTTAAGGCCACAATAAAATCCATAGCAGATTCACCCGGCCTCTGGTCTCTCTGCTCGAACGCGTGCCTCCAAGCAATAACAGATAACTTTGGCTGGAAATGTTCCTTTAACATTTTCTTCAAATCAGTATATGTTACTAACTCCGGAGGTGCAGGGGCCACCAGATTCTCTGCAATTTCAAAAGCTTCCTGTCCACAGACACACAAAAGAGTTGCAGCCTTCAAGCCATCTTCTCTAATTTGATTTACTCTGAAGTAATTCTCCACCCTTGCAATGTAGGAATTCCATCTATCTGGGCGTGAGACATCAAAATCAGACAAACAACCAATCTTCGCCATCATACTATTATTACCTTCACCACTCGCTCCTCTGCAAATTTCTGTTTGGGGAAAGGGTCCTTTAGCCGAGCTCACCCTCCAGCGACACTATACTGGGAGGCTGGGACACTGATTCAGACACCGTTTCCCTCTTCAGGACTTCCTGGGTAAGTCCTTAAAACTTTCTCTTTAGTTTGCAAAGGATCCCACCTTCGTCACCAGTGTTAAGTACTTCGTTCGCTTGTGAATGATGAATAAACATGGTGAAGTTTAACAGCTCTTTATTCTTCAACCAACAACCCCCGAACAACGGCACAAGGCACGCAGGCCTCTTTATGTGTCCAGAGACCCGGACAACAGCAAAACAAAGTAACAGAGCGCTTTTGCACCTTGCGCATGCGCACAAGGCTGGCACCGCTCAGTCTGGTCCCGGACAGCTTTTGGAATGCCCAGGACCAATGCAACGCCCCAAGCCTGCTTTTGCAGGCTCAGGACACAACAGCTACCAACCACAAATAAACTCTGGAGCACAGTAATTCACCACCTCCAACAATCAGAGCATTAGTATTTATCTTCTCAAGTTGTCAAAAATCCAATGGAAATAGTTCTGTATCAATCTCCATTTAGATACATCCCTTAGCAAACAACCAGCATATTTTGGTCTAATGTGATTCTTGGCCTAATTTCAATATTGCTGCACAAAAGATCAATTCAGATTTTTGGTAAAGGCTACTTTTTCTCTCCTTGCAGTGATTATTATAGTAATCCTAGGGGTTTCTATCATTTTGGGACTCAACAATTGTTTACTAATCTTCATCCTGTAGTTTTCTACCATATTGCTTTCTAAATACTTGTACTATATAATTTGTAGGGGTATGACAAAGAGAGCTTTCCCAGGCTACAAATATATGTATAAATTTCCATTGTACAGAATATGAAGTAAGCTTTTTGAATTAAATTTATTAACTGCTATCTTAATGAACATTTCCCTGGAAAAAGCATCCTAAATTCAATAAGATGGTACTGTCAGAGATTTTTAACAATTTCTCTTTCTCTCCCTCCTCTCATAGTATAGTCTATTTTACTATTTTGCTAGAGATGAAAATAATATACCAATTGCTATTTGTTAAATAGTGACAACCAAATATGAAAAATAACTAGAGATTAGTATGCAGCAATTTTATCATATCTTCATGAACTATGAAATCTCATTCCATAGATGCAGTAGAGATGTTAAAACAATGTGGCTTGCAATATGACGTGCAGCATAATGCATAAGAACATTTATTTAGTTCAAAGCAATAATGTTCTTTATCAACACCAATAAAAGCTATTCCTTTAGCCAAATATATAAGCAAACAATATCAAATGTTTATACTTATTAGTCAGCCTTTTCACTTAAACCTGTGTGGCTGATAGAAGTGATCCAATTTACTAATTTGTAAAGCACATAAAATAGCAAGAAAGAAAAAATATTTTCAAGATAATGACTGTTCTCTTATACAATAAGAAGCCAGAATTCCAAAACATAATACTAGCTTACTATGAACAAACTGCAGGCCAGTCCATATTTGCTCCTTTTTTGCCAATAGGAATAGCTAAACCAAAACCACCAAAAGTATAAATTCTTGTTTAGGACATTATACATCATCACAAGGCTGGTTTGAAATTCTCTAGAGACCACCTAATAAAATGTAAGTTAGGGTTAACTGTAACAGCTTGAATGATTCAGCATTGACTTGTAGCATTCTTGTCTTTTGTTGATGAATGAGTCTGAAGCTCATTTCAGAGGCGGCAGAGTGACAAGAGATGCTTACACAGCAGTAGCTGCAAAATAATTCATGTAAAGTAAAGCCAGCAAGAATTTATTAGAACTGGAAGACTTTTGGATTTTTTTTAAAAAAAATACAATTCATGTTAGAACCATATCTGTGACATACTTGGGGATTTTTTTACTGTACAGCTTTGGAAATGATTCAAAAGAAATGCTTTGGATATTGGATGAGCACAACTTTCTGCTATTCCTTAAAGTAGCACCATTTTTTAAAAAACTTCTAGGCAACATTGTTTAAAGCTGCCATTATTTTAAAAATCAATTAGTAAATTCCTTAAAACAGCAGAAATACTTTTTCTACCTTTATTGGGAAGCCAAGAAAAAAAGAAAAAAAACACGTTCTTTCTGAACATCAGAAAAGTGCATCATGTCAACTTGAAAAAAGCACATTTTTCTCAAACATTTTCTAGAACTGCCATGCAATTCAAAGTAAATTTGCAACTGTGTTAGTGTTGCAGACAAGGACATACCGGTGCTCAAATTTGTTTATTTAATTTATATGCTACTCATCTTGCTAGTTCCAGCACATTCCAAAGCATCTTCTGGAGATCAAATCCAAAACCTTGAGCAGCCCTATAAAATATGAACAAAGCCACTATTCATTATTTGAAAATAAGTTCCATTAATCTGAAAAAATTTTTTTGCTGGAATTAGAACTGAAAAGCTTTTTTCTGCATTTACACACACAAAACATGTGGCTAGACTACTACCCCAAAAGAGCCAGCGTTTAGCAATGAAGAACAACTTGGTACCAGTCACAGATCTCGTATTAGTTTCCAGAATGTTTGACCTGATGATTCTAGCCAAATCATCAGGAGGATGTTAGACACAATGCATCTGGAGTACACGTGTGTTTTAGCTTTGGTGCAATTAATATTTCATCAGATTGAGAAAAAACTAGAAGGTAGAATGTAAATGAAAGTGACAATACAGATCTATTATAAAGTTGGAAGAGTTTAAAATGGTAAAAGTAACAACTTTTTAGAAATGCATGTTAGAGAATGAAAACTGAGATTCAGAATAGGGCTGCTGCACTCATCTGCCTTCCTTCCTGTATTTATATAAGGTAGCCCTCCATTCCTCAACTAACATCTCCAAAGGGGTTCAAAATGCAGCTCCCACAAAACTTGACAGGAATAATGGAAATTGTGGTCTTTCAGTGGGCACCAAATTTGGAAAGTAAATTTTAGTCTCCATTACCATAAACATAAAGCAAGAGGAGTACAGGTAGTGCTCAACTTACAACAATTTGTTTAATGACTATTTGAAATTACAATGGCACTGGAAAAAAATGATTTATGACTGTTTTTCACATGTGCAGTATTCCCATAGTCACATGATAAAAATTCAAACACTGGGCAACTGGCATCTATTTATGATCACCTTTTGCAACTTTCTGACAGGCAAAGTCATTGGGGAAGCCAGATTCATTTAAAAACCTGTTATTAACTTAGGAACTGCAATGATTTACTTAACAACTGTGGCAAGAAAGGTCATAAAATGGGGCAAAACTCACTTGATAAATGTCTTGTTCAGCAAGAGAAATTTTGAGCTCAAAATTATGGTTGCAAGTCAAAGAATACCTGTATTACACCCAGGGGTAATACCTGGGGTACCCTAGCGTAGAATTTCATAACCTTGGCAAGGTTGTATGGATTTCAGCTCCCACAATGCTGGCTAAAAAATTCTGCGATAGAATTCTGTAGAATTTTTCAACTCCCCCAGCATGTGGTTTAGGGAATTCTGGGAGTTGAAGTCCACCCATCTTAAGAGTTGCCAAAGTTGAGTAACACTGGCTTAATTTACACTAACTAACACTCACCTGGAACAACATATCAAATTCAGTGGGAACAAACTAAGTCCACTGCTTAGAATAATACTGTGAGGTTGCAATCTTATGCACAACATAATTTGGAATGAACCCCACTGAATAAAAACAATGCTCATAAATTCCAAAGAACCTTGAATACTCAGACCAGGCCAAGAATTTGCCTAGTCCGACCTTACCTACCACTGCTGTCCGCGCTGGAGAAGTGCTCAAACCTGGCCTGAAAGATGGCAATTCCGCTCCACTATTTCTACGAAAGGCACTCTTATGAAGGACATTGCCCCAAGAGACTGTGGCAGAACTGAAGCCACGCCCACCTGCTCCCACCGTCATTGAGACATCTGGAGGAAAAAAAATCATCCCTTGGCGCCGTCTTTCCCCTTTTAGCAAAAGTTGCGCGCGCGCAGTGCGGCAGACTGCACTTACCTCGCTGCTGGAAGTCGGTGGGGTAGTTGTTATGTCACCTCCTTTCAGGGGCGCTGTGCTTTCTCGCTATCAGATCTTCTCACTCGCCGACCCGGTTTTATTTCGCCATGGTCTTCCCTCGGAAGGTGCGCCACCACTCTACTTCACCTTCTTTCTGACCGCCTCGCGCGCGCTCTCTCCTTCCCCAAGCCGCAATGCAGTTCCCCGCAGGACCGGGGCCCAACTTGCTTACTAGGCGAGAGCTCGCAAGGCTACTTCCCTAACGCCTCCTCTTGTATTAGTTGCCGCACCGTCCGAGGAGAGCTGGAAATAGCAATGGCAGAGATGACAGAGTTCTCTGTCGTTTAAGTCTTTCAGCTTGGGCTATGGTTTAACTTTCTTCCTCACCACCACCGCCGCCGCCGCCGCCGCCGCCGGGCTCCTTACATCAATCGCTCGCCGCGGTCAGCGACTCTACACTGACTATGCAAACTGCGTTACCAGGAAGCGGGATGGGTAATAGCGGAGTATCTGGTGGAATGCCAAGACAAAACTGAGTGATGGAAGTTATACTATCACTCGGAATATTCGAGTGAATATATATATAAAGATGGGGAGGGCTTGCAGGTACAATTCTTTTGTGGACGTTGTAACAGAGTATCTCTTGTAGCTTAGTCTTCTAGCCTGGCTAGAAGCCTGGTATCAAAGCAGAATTCGAATGGAATCGCTTAACCTCGATATTCATTTACTTAACCAATAGGGAGAACAGTAACTGATTTTCCTATCCCAGTTCATCCCTTTCAGTGATACTGTCATCTGCACAAAAAACAATTACACAGCTTTATCCCTCCATTGTACTAATAGTGCAATGGGAATATAGATTATGATGTATCATTTCCGATTTTGATGGGAGCCTAGTAAACAGCACCACTCTATTGGTTAGGATTTTTAAAAGGGAGCATTTCACAATGCCATCTCATATGTAAATCTGGCATTGGTATCAATTGCGAGTTTGGCTACCACATCCAGGGCAGCATATTTAACTGAACCCTTCAAAATAAAACAAAAAAATCTTATAAGTTAGAATGTGAAGACTCAAGGGACTCTATAATCATTCTAGACTCTTTGTGATTCTATAGTCACATCATGCAAGGCTTTTCTTTTACCAACCTCTAAATTTTTTCTTCAACTTTCCAATTTTTCCAGTGATTCAGAATTTCTTGGTGATCCCCCATCCAAATGTAGATCCAATATCTCCCTGGTTATCTTTTAAGAATAGCCAAGAATTGCTACCTAAGGTTTATATGAGTTAAAAAGGATCCCCCCTACTCACCCAAAAAAAAGGTGTGTGTATATTTATAGGCTTTCACATTAAAAAGCAGTTTGCTGCGCTAACAAAGATTTTATTTTAATACCTTTTCAAAAGCTTTTCAAAGCTTTTCTTCAAGAGACAGATCAGAAAAGATTCACTGTTTTGATGCAGACGTTACAAGAAATTTCTGCAGATCCATTTCTGACAATGCAAAGCAGAAGACCAGATATAATTGTCCCACTTACACCTTTTCTCTCCAAGTGAAAAGAACCCAAAGGTAATACTTGGGATAACATCAAGTATTAACATTAGGCATACTACTCATTTGCCACACAAAGCTCAGTGGCAGAGTACAGAAACTTTGAGAATGAAGGATGAAATATTTAGAGAAAAAAACTTGATCAATACATTGCAGGAAAGTAGTGCAAAGTTTTGTTTCAGGTGCACATGAGATACTAGATGAGGGCTTTTCAACCAGTGGTATGGGTACCACCTGTAGTACATTGGCACCTGGCAGGTGGTTCGCGACCATCCTAGAAAAGTGGTAATGGGGGAGGGGAATGAGCTGAACCGGTGGCAGCACCGCACAAGCCTGAGTGAGAGATGGCTGGAGCTGCAGGGCTGTTGGCTCAGCGGAAGCGCCAGGATCAGTACTGCTTTCCAGATGATTGGCGCTTCTTTGGGGCTGCCAGGGGTCAGTGGAAGCACCAGGATCAGCGTCAGGCTCCAGCTGGAGCTTGGCTCTGAAACTGGTGCTTCTGTTGAGCCCAGAAGAAATGCCAATCAGCTGGAATGTTGCAGCATCTCCAGGGTCTTGTGATTTACATTCAGATACTTGGCAACTAATTCATATTTATGATGGTCACAGTGTCCCATGGTCATGTGAAGTGACCAAAACCTGCTGCAACCACCCAGCAGATGGGGGGAATAAAAACCAAACATACCTCACCCCACCCCCACTGCCAATCCTCAACAGAAATGCTCACAACAATGAAAACCTCAGACAGGAGGAAGAGTGCAGCTGGGCGGGCAAGCAGGTGTCTTGCTCGGCTGTGCCTTGGGGGGGCACTTTTTTCAGTGCCATTGTAACTTCAAACAGTCACTAAGCGAACTGTTGTAAGTCAAGGACTACCTGTACTTTCTCACTTTTTTCCTTTTTTTGGGGGGGTCATCAAGTTTTTGACATCTTGCTAGGTGACTGGTGGTACTCGGATGTTGCCATATCCTAAAAGTGGTACAATGGATGAAAAGGTTGAAAAGCCCTGTACTAGACAACTCATGGCCTGTTGAGTCATTGTTTCTTAAATATTTTCTTACCTAAGCAAAATGACCATGGATCACCACAAATCTCCTCTTCCCTTCTCCTTCCTTTCCTTTTCTTTTCTTCCCTTCTCCTTCCATTTCCAGCAGGCAATAAATGACTGCTCCTTGGTGGGGGAAGGAGGAAAGGGTTGAGAGATTGGCTGAGAAACTGTCACAGAATGACAGTTGAAATGAAGATCATGTAACAGCAACAGCTAGTAATACTGAAGCAGCTATAACTTTCTGAGATTTCATTTCCTTATCATAGTCATAGATTAAGATTTGGGGCACATTCTCAATAAACTAGCCTATTTGAGATACCTTGATTCAACATTCAAATATTTTAACACACTATTATTATTTAAATACAACAGTTTCTATGGTTTATATTATACGTTAAAACAGGGGTCCCCAAACTTTCTGGGTTGGTGGCCTAGTGGGAAAGAGAGGGGCAGGTATCTTTATGCACGCATGTGCACAGACACAAATGTGGCTGTGCAGGTGTGCATGCAAATGGGGCCGTGAGCTTGCGCACTCCGTACATGGGGCTGCTAGCACCAGTGTGGAGCTCACAGCTCGGCTAGTGCTGGCATGAGGCTCATGGCTTAATTAGTGCTGGGGTGAAGCTCACGGCTCGCAGCTCAGCTAGGGCCAGTGCAAGGGGGTGAGCGCGCACACACGCACTGGCCAGCCACTCACATGGCCCAGTGGCCAAGAGGCCACAGCCTGGTAGTGGGCCGAGGCCCATAGGTTGGGGATCTCTGCTTTAGAATGCTGACATCATGGTAATAATTTATTGTGTATAGTACTTTTTTAACTTCATATTTCCTATATTGTAATGCCATTTAATTTTACAAAGCTTGAGAGGTTTTTTGTTATGTGCCATCAAATACTTTTTGACTTCTAGCTAGCCTATAGATTTTATCTAAGACGTTCTATCTCTAACTTGTTCTTTTATGCCTTCCAGTGGCATATTCATTTATTTCCTTCTATGTTTCCCAGCACTGGAGCTTTTTTCAGAGAGTTGGGTCTTTGCATAATATGTCCAAAGTAAAATAATTTGTGAGAACTCTAGAGTGTTTTATTCAATGACCCATTGGTTTGTTTTCCATGGTATTCTCAGCACTCTTCTGCAACACCAAACTTTAAAAGTATTAAATCTTCTCCTGTCTAGCTTTTTTTAAGTCCAACTTTCATTTCCATGGTGTGTCACAGGAAATACCATGGCTTGTACAATTTTGATCTTTGTAGATATTGATACATCACAGCATTGAATATATTTTCCAAGGCCCTTATCTACCAAGTGCTAGTATGTGGCTATTTCTTGGCTGCTTTTTCCTTTATTGTTGATGGTTGATTCTAACAGGCAGGAGCTAACTTTAATATTTTCATTGCCAGGACTAAAATTGTTTGTCCTGCTTGTTGCCACTAGTTTGGTTTTCTTTGTATTTAAAAGTTAAGAGCAGGAATTTTTTTACTTATTAATGCCCTTATTATTTGCTATTTAAGTCTGCCATCAATGTATAAAAGTGTTACTTGATTTCTAGTTTGAGTATACTGATTTGTAAAAAAAAAATTAAGAAAATATCCCAACCTTTTTCAAGCTGATTTTTAAAGGAAACACATGTTATTCAATAAGTATCCAGTGCAACAGAAAAACAATAGGTCATTAATATAAACATAAGTATTTTGTTTAGTTGGGAGGTCTGCCAACATTTTCTTAAAACCACTTTTATACAGATCTGCTTTTCTGATTCTAAGACTTAGAGACAAGACAGAGAAGGGTGTGTACCATGGTTTCCTCCAAATTATGTAAATAGTCAAAAAAAGCTTGGAGAAAAATATGTAAGAAAGCCAACTTATTCAATATGCTGAAAGAATCGAGCATTTATATTTCTTGATCACCATTCCCTGTTTCAAATACCACTTAGCAAACTTCTTTTGAAACATGAGAATTTAAAAGCAGTTTTTTAAAAGGTGCAAGGACCTGTTAGTAAAAGAAAAAAAATTATACCGAATGTTCCCAAATTCTTGGACAAACTAAAGGAGCTTTTGGTATTCAAGCCATAATCCTTGCCTCTATGAATAAGTAAATTAAGGTTATTGTAAATTATTAAGGTTAATATGAACTGAACATTCATTGTAGCATACAGAATTTTTCTTTCTATATGCAAAGTATATTTTGCAACATTTGGAAAGGTATATAAAAATGGTTGCACAATTAATGAATTTGTCACACTTGTGAAATGGCATCTGTGCAAGAGACAGAAACAGAAAACTTCCAAGTATTATTTCTACATTTAACTGATAGTATATTTATGAATAAATAACCCAAAGCATATAATCTGTTGTCATCATATTCTGCCCTTTTTGTATTCTCACTCTGCCTTTCTTTGCCTGTAAGCTAAAGATATACACTACTGATTGATTTAATTATTTCTGTTATTTATTTCTATAATTATAACAGTTAATGATTTAATGTGCTTCTAACTCGTAAAAAATTAGCAGAAAATGTTGTGGTATTCAGTGTTTTATTCTGGAAAAGTCACAGACTTTGAACTAAAAATTATAACATGTATTGCTAAAGCAGGAGCATGTGAATTAAAGATCATTGAATAGATAGACATATGGAAGCTGTTATTTTACATAGTTCTAGGTAGTCTTTATTGACACAATTGGAACTTTTAATTAATTGCAGAGACCAAATACAATGAGTTTAGGAAGTCCTCAACTTATAACCACAATTGAGTCCAACATTTCTGTTGTTAAGTGAGACATTGTTATGTGAGTTTTGCCCCATTTTATGACCTTTCTTGCCACAGTTGTTAATGAATCACTACAATTGTTAAGATACTAACACAGTTGTTAAGTAAATCTAGCTTCCCCATTGACTTTGCTTATTAGTAGGTCACAAAAAGTGATCATAAGATCCCAGATCACTGCAATAGTCATAAATAAGAGTCAGTTGCCAAGCATCTGAATTTTGATCATGTGACCATGGGAGTATGCAACAGTTCTAAGTGTGAAAAGTCTCATAAGTCACTTTTTTCAGTGCCTTTTAACTTTGAATGATTACTGAGTGAACTGTAGTAAGTCAAGAACTACCTGTAACAAGATATATAGCTTAACACTGTAAACCTTATTTGTGGCAACAAGTAGCATGACCTTTGCAGATGGTCTTTATTTTTGCAAGACCCTATATATAAAGCAAGGCATTTACTGGATGCAGGAAAAAAAACTATTTTGCATCATGCAACAATTAGGTTGCATATAGAAGCTCTTCGAGCAAATACAAGCTCACTTTAGTGATCCATAGCAAAAGCAAACAGGAATGGTGGTTTTACATCTCTTTCTAACTTGTTTAAAAATATACAAGTCTATAGCAATAGCACTTATACTTATATACTAAGCTTTTACAAAGTCAGTATATTGCCCCCAACAATCTGGGTGAATCTTGAAACATTTTCTTAAGGCAATCTTAATATATTTGGCTCTGTTCAACAATTCATAAATCTAAATGTCCACTTAACAGTTTGGGGGGGGGCAAAATCAACTGAGATGAATATTTTAAAAAAATCTTTAGAGCATTTATATAAATCTAACTTCCTGAAAAGTACAGATGCTTCAGTAATTACTCAAAGATGGTCAGAGTCGTTCTCACAACTTTGAACAGTAATGATACCTCTTGTTTGATTAGTGCATTAGTGTAATGCACTCTGCAAATTTATTCTTCGTAAAGCAGGTGATAAGATATATTTTATAAAATTGCTAATACTGATTACTGATAATTTTTGTTTATATAAAGAATATAGTTATGGACTTCCTGTGGATGAAGCAGCTACGATGGCTGCTTCTCACAAAGCAGCCCGTTCCTGGGTTGTGTAAAAGCCGCAGGACTTTTACAATCAGCTGTCCTGCAGCTTGAATCTCTTCCCTGGGAAAAAGGGAAGAGAAGAGCTGCTCAGGTAGAGGTAAGAGCTCCCCTGGATCCCCATAATTTCAGGGATCGGAAGGTAGAGCTGCCTCGGAGCCTGAGCCAACTCTGCACTCTAGGACGTCTTTGTCCCGAAGTTCTGGGATGAAGCAAGGTGCCGCTCCCACATCTGCTTTTTTTAGAGGCTTGTGAGTATTCAAATGCAGATGGAGCAGACCAGGAGAAAGTGGATTTAAGATTTATTGTGACTTTAACTCCTGCAAGCATCTTCTCCCCTTTTTTTGTTTACTTTCCCTTTTGAAGAAAGGGAAAGTGAAAGGCAAAATGGCGACTGTCTTTCTTGTTTGACTTTGTAACAAAGTTAAAAGTTCACATTTTAAATACAGAGGCAAGAATTTTGTTCTTCTTTCTTTCTTTTTCTTCCTTCTTTTTTATTATTTAAAGAACTGTGATATTATAGAGGCAAGAATTTTGCTCCTTTGAACTTAACAGAATGGCTTCAAAACGTTTGGTCTCTGTCCCTAAAGCTTCCATCTCTTCTCCAATGACTCAGCCTGCTTCTCAGCCTAAACCAAAATCACCCCCACCCTTTCCTCCTCCTGCAATCTCTTTCAAAGACTTACAAGAGGCTTTAAAAATGACTGCTTTGAATATTAAAGAGGAGGTAAAAGATCTTATAATTGCAGAGAGGGCTATTACAGAAGAATTATTGGAGAAAAAGAACAAGCAAGTCAGAGAAGACATACTTTTTGCATTTTCTGGTCTTGCCCTGCATATTGAAAGGATTGACAATAAAATGGAAGAGATTACTGAAAATGCAGCAAAACTTGAATTTAGAATGGAGGAAGTGGAGAATAAGATAGAAGTTACACATGATGAACAAACTATTTCACAATACAGAGAAATGGAGTTCGCATTGCGTATCCAGGTTTTGAAAGAAAATTCCCAGGAAGATTTGAAGATGCTTATTATTAGAGATATTGCTTTTAATCTTGAATGGAGACCAGAAGAAGTTGGGAATGAGATAGAAAAAATCTTCAGAGTCAACTCACGGGTTGCTAGACAGAGAATAGACTAATGCAGGTGTCAGAGGTTCCGACTAATGAAGCACTTCAAAGAACTTTCAGGCATGTTTCCTAAAGTCTTTATTACAGAGCTACAAATTGCCGGTCACCATCATGGACGTTGTGA